AGAAAGCAAATGTAGGCAGCGTTACTTGGGTCTCAGTCCTGGCTCCGCTGCTTACTCCCTACTGGACACTTGTTTCCTTGTTTTTAAAATGAGAACACGAACGATATCTACCTGGTGAGATTGTTCTGAGGATGAAGTGAGATAATCTCTGTGACGAGGTTAGCACAACCTCTGGGTCTTAGGAAGCCCTCAGTAAATGTTGACAAATTGTGAATAGAGAACAAACATCCACTTGCTCAGACCACCGAAAACATTGTGACCTGCGATTTATAGAAAATAAATAAGTCATCCCTTTCATAAAAGTCACCTCATTAGAGAAGCAGGCCTTTAGAAAAATAGCTGCTTCCTAGTCATCATGATTCTGAGCTGTCTGGAGCACAATACAGTCCCCTTTGTTAAGAGGGAAAATAATGTGCCCGGCCAGTATGGCTCAGTGGTTGAGAGCCAACCTATGAACCAGGAGGTTATGGTTTGATTCACAGTGAGGGCACATGCCCGGGTTGGGGGCTCGTGTGGGGTGTGCATCTCTCCTCATTGATGTTTCTATCCCCCTTTCCCTGTCCCTTCCTCTGTCTGAAATCAGCAAAAACCCCCACATATTTAAAGCCCTTTCAGAAACAGACTTGAAAAAAATAAGAGGGAAAAAACACTTACTGGGTTAACTTCCCATCCTTCGTAGATTCTGAACAAATTTCCTTTATATTTTAACTTCGGACAGAAACCAATCTGGGATTTTCAGCTCGAGTTGACCTCAGATGAAAAGCCTCGGCGCTAGGAAAGGTTTATGAAAGCACATATGCCTAAGATGGGTGGACTATAGTAGCAGTATTTTCCCTTACTATCTTTGTCTGATTATCAAGATAAAAACCTACTGGGTCATTTTAGGGCCAACTGTATAGATTGCAGAAGAAAGGGCCCCCTGAGGACCCAGAAGGCGGGAGGGGAGTCCCACCCTTCTCCCGAGCTCATGGCGATGGACAGAGTGTCCCCCCGAGCTGCAAGCTGAGCAGAGCTGTAGGCTTCTATCTCCTCCTCAGAAGGGGGTGAGGGGGCCAACGGTTTCTATTCCAGAGGGTCGTCTCAAGGACCAAATGGGCACAGGGCCTGGCCCACCGCCGGGGCTCCGTACACGGCAGCCAGAGAGCCGTGTCGTGGGGTGCTGAGTGCCACACAGGAGATCCGGGGGTGAGTTCAGGTGAAGAACTTGGACATGTCCGTGTTCACATCGCATGATTCATGTCTGCTGTGCTGCTGCTGCCGCTGCTTTCCTGTAACCAATTGCAGAGCCTCTCTTGGCAGCGGGAGTGTTTGGGATTAATTTCACACTCGCTTTATGAGCTGAGCCTTTTCCTGCAGGCAGCTCCCCGGGCCTCTGCCTCATGACTTTGGCATCAGCTGATATGGCAGTGGGACAGAGCTGTCCTCTGGGGTCCCCGTTTTATTTGGAAACCCTCCGTTCGAAAAAGCAAAACAAAGGCCATGGACACATCGCGCTTGAAACCGTTAGCATTTATTGTTTCCCGAGGCCTCCCTTGTGCCGAGCACGGGGGAGCGACATCCCGCACGGCCCGGGGTGAGCCCTCCGGTGTGAGTCCCGCAGCTGCCTGGCCGCCCCGCTCAGCGCCAGGTGAGCTGTGAGGTCTTCTCGGCCGTGGTCCGGCCTGGGTCTTGCCGGGCCCAGCCTTCCAGCCCTGCTCATTGTGTTGATTCTGCTCCAGCCATTTGGCTCTGGCAGAGGACGAAGTAAACTTGGCTGCTCCGGGTGAAACCAAGCGGAGAACACGGAGATCTGCTTAGTATTTCGCGCTGGCCAGTGGGTCAGGGAGGTTTTCCTGGGGGGTAACTTACATGAGGAGTTGTTTATCCCCTTTCTCTCCAGTTGGGACCATTCGGGGAGAGCAGACGCTCTCTGCAATGGCACAGACATGCATCCAGGGAGAGATGTGTGTTGGGCCCCGCTCAGGAAAGATCTGTGGCCCCGGGCTGTGTCTCGCCGAGAAGTCATTCTTCCCCCACAGCTGTGCTTTAGCCGTTTGGGCGGGCCCTGCTCTGACAGGCTGTTACACTGAGTGAGGATTTTCCCTGGATGGTGAGGAACGTGCAGAAAGCCTCTCTGGAGTCCCAGCTAACGCTCCAAATGTCTTCTGGGATCCCATAGCCTCCGAGAGTGTCCCCTCCACCTGGGACTGCCCTCAGAATACTCCGTGCTCCCTTGTGCTACAGCGCTAGGCACACGCTCTTTTTCTTGACATTGTGGTTCTTCCACAGTGGCCCACGTTGCCCCTCCCTCCCCTTTTTTTAATCTCATCAAATGCTCTTTCCACAATGGAATATTTGTTTTCTGAACAAGAAGCTTCCACTTTTCTACTTTACTGGATTTGGTCAAGGTGTTTACTTCACGGTGAAAGCCCCCATATCCAATATCTGTTCTTTAAAAAAATATGTTTTTATTGATTTTAAAAAGAGAGGAAGGGAGAGAGATAGAGTGATAAAAACATTGATGAGAGATGTATTGCCTCCTGCACACCCCCTACTGGGATCACCCCCCAACCTAGGCATGTGCCCTGACCGGGAATGGAAGGAACCATGCCCTCTCGGTTCATAGGTAGATACTCAACCACTGAGCCACACCAACCAGGCCAGTATCTATTCTTGAGGAGACATTTCTGGTACCTCTTCCAAGAGGTGTGCTGGTAAATGTTGAACAACCGGTTCCCTGGGAAGGATAAGCAGAGGGAAGGCTGGGGTCTTTTGTAGCATTTATTGATTTCCATGTTGTCACTAACTTCCACTGTGACCCGCGAGAGGTCACAGAATGTGGACTTGGGAAGAATTGGCAATAACTATTTCTGTTTGCAACCTGCAGGGGCAATAAGCATAAATAACCCCAAGGACCTAGACATTAGTAGAATAATTAGGAAGTAATTTTGAGTATTTATTACTTTGTTTTAATATAATGTATTCAATTTTAAGTTCATGTAATTTAATTTTTCTTAATGGCCCCAGTTTAACAGCTGGTACACAAAAATTTCCAAAAAATAGAACTAGTTTTCTCTCTTGAGCTGGGTGGAGCCAGCTGCTTCCTCCCCCACCTCTCCTCGCAAAGAGCCGCAGTTTGCCTACCACTGGTCTAAAGGGTCTTTCCAACATGGTCAGCTTTGGCCTCCTTGATCTATTTTCTTTTCTTCATTATAAACTCTTTGAAGGTAGAGGTGAGATCTGTTGCCACTGAATTCCCTGTAGTGCTTCCTGCAGATTTTTGCACCTGCCTGGCTCCCGGGAGGCGTGTATGACCTTGATCTTTGCATGATTTGGCCTCTCCCACAAGAAGCATCTGTGTCTCTGTACCATGGTCCCCACAGTGAGGCTTGATTGGGAACAGTCCTAGGAAGGAGAAAACACAAAGCTGGGCTTTAACAGGAGGAGTCCATTGTAATCAGGGGGCAGGGGAGGGGGGCAGATGAGTCCAGGCATTTTGGTTTAAGGACAGTGGCCTCCTCCTGTCTCTGGGAGGGACCGCTTGAAGACGGGGAAGGGACGCATTTCAGGCCTCATCTCGGGGACATTAACTCTGGCCGGAATAATTTGTCCCTTTGGCAAGTGCTTTCACACTTACTTTGTGTCCTGCACAATTAGGACATTATTACAGTAATGCTGCTTTCCACTAATTGGTTGTGTATGTGTGTTTTCTGTCCAACAAATTATAAGATCCTCATGGGCTGTAAGAACTCTTGCACTGCTTTTGAGCACGATGGAAGGCAGCACAGGGATAGGCGCACAGTGAGCGATGCACTTGATTGTGCAGCTGACCTTGGTCCGAGCTCCCAGGATCCCCCGGGAGCTGAATGCCCTGAGCCAGGGGGCGAATTGTCCCCATCTGCCTGGCATGGTCAGGCCAGGACCTTCAGCCGCTTTGTCTTTCCCTGACCTACATCTCTGTCCCAGTGTCCCCCAGACACCCCGCGGCCTGTCCCCCCCACAGCGCCTCTCCCTCCGTGGAATTTGGGAGACCACACAGCTGTAGAGTCTACTTGTTTGAATGATGATTTTTTTAACACGCGCCTTGGGCCAGTGTCAATAGCCCATGAAATCTCACCGAATGGATCGTCTGCACGAGATCTCGACACTCAGCCGAGCCTCATGCTGCTGGGGCCCTGCAGGAAGGCGCTCTCTGCTCTGACTGTTGCTCCCATTCTGGGGGTTGTCCGATGCCTTATGCCTTTGCGCTGTCCATTACTTTTAAGGAGCACAGAATTCACCAAGACACTGAAATAGCATAAAACACCAATGGGCAGTCTTGGATGTTCCATCCAGTTGTTGCTTTAGTTCCTCTGTCCCACAGATTATTCAACAGGATGAAAAGAAAGAAAAAAAAAAAAAAGCCAATTCTACTCACTCCTGCCAATTCTGTCCTACGTAGGCTTGGCCTTGTAAAGCTAACACATCCCAAACATTTTCTTTTCTTTCGGGTCCCTGTGGGCTGGTGCCTGACATTTGTGTTTAAAATGACATATTGCTCAAATGGCTAAACGTTTGAATGCTATCTAGCTTTTGGCCATAACAAACATTGATATTCCAACTGTGACACAGATGAAGAAGAAGAATCAGAGGAAGATAGCTATTTTCGGAAAAGGGGTATAATGAAGTTATTATTTTAAATTATAAGGCAAATGCAATCATTTGGATTAGAATTTTTTTTTAAAGTCATCCCACCTCTGTGGCTAACTGGTGTGAGAGACAGTAATAACTGTGCTAGAGGTTAGTTTATTAGCATGTTGTGGAAGGTCCCGAACAAGGCCCCATTAAGCAGATTTCACGGTATTTGTACCTCCGCGATATGGATCTGGGATTCATATCCGAGATATGAATCCCAGATCTGGGATCTGGGATTCATTCAGAGCCGTCAGGTTGTTTGGGGGAGAAACAGGGTGCGCCACGTGCCCTTTGTGGAGGCCCGGGGAGTGGGAGACGGCCCTGACCGAAGTCCGTCCTTCCCGCAGGTGATGGCGCTCGCGGACGCCGTGGAGGAAAACCAGGCCAGCGTGCTGCAGGCATTCAGCAGGCTGCGCAGCGCCACGCACCTGCTGCTGCTGCTGGTCGGGCTGTGGCAGAAGCTCAGTGCTGACCAGATGGCCATCCTGGAGGCGGCGTTCCTGCCTCTGCAGCACGACACTCAGGAACTGGTAAGGCCCGTGCGTCTGCCGCCGTGACAGCTACCGTGCCAGCCACTGTGCCAGCCACTGTGATGGAAAAGCTGGTGGCTGCAGGAAGCTGTCACAGGGCTAGCATGTTTTTTAAGGCATCAGATGATGGCTTTGGTGTGTGCGTGTACGCGTGTGTGTATGTTACCCAAATCCTGTTTTCTTTAAATCATTATAAAAATGTCAAATAAAAGCCTTCCCCTCCCCCAGAGCTATTTTAAAAATAGGCACATAGTCCATTTTTATGTGGTATCCAGTCTATTTTTTAAAAATTATTTTTATTGACTTCCAGAGAGGGAGAAGGGGAGGGAGAGGGAGAGAGTGAATCATTGATCTGCTGCCTCCTGCATGCTCCTCCTGGGGAGTGAGCCTGCAACCCCCAGGCATGTGCTCTGACCGGGAATCAAACCGGTAACCTCTCAGTGATGGGCCAATCCCCAGCCAGTGGAGTCACACCCGCCAGGGCAGTCAGTTTTCTTTGTGCTCTGCAAGCACCGAGAAGCCCCGGAAACAGTCGTTTGACTGCCTGGGTGATGCAGCGAACCTTCAGACTGGCTCATCTAGACGGCTCAGCCATTTTAATTGGCTCCATGTTCTTACATTTAGCGTCACTTCAAGAGTTCGAGGCAGCTGAGATGGCTGTGCAAAATGACAGGAACATTTCATTGCATTTATATAGTTCTTTATGTACCATTTGCAAACTCTTTTACCCTTAATCCTTTTATGGACAGTTTAGGATGAAAGGGGGGGGGGGTGGAAATGGGAATTTATATTGGGAGTTTTGGGTAGAGGATAACTTATTTTTATTTTTAAATATATTGGAAAAACAATTCCAGAGAGGAAGAGAAAGGGAGGGAGAAAGATAGAAATGCACCTTACTAGAGAATGAGCCTGCAACCCAGGCATGTGCCCTGACCAGGAATTGAACCGTGACCTCTTGGTTCATAGGATGAGGCTCAACCAGTGAACTACCCCGCTGAGTGGTAGAGGATCATTTAAATAAAAACTTCTCAGAGCCCTTGAATTGTAGAAGTATCTATGACCATGAGCTGCCATTTTGGAGAAACTTTTTTGCATGCTTTTTTTTTTTTTTTTCAAAGAAATATATTAAAAGAAATAATTTCAAAGAGGAAGGGAGAGGAAGAGAGAAACAGAAACATCATTGGTGAGAGGGAAACATTGATCAACTGCCTCCTGCACACCTCCCACTAGGGACTGAGCCTGCAACCAGGGCACGTGCCCTGACTGAGAATCGAACCTGTGACTCTTAGCTCATAGGTCGATGCTCAACTCCCTTCCTCTCTGTCTAAAAAATCAATAAAAAACATTAAAAAGAACCCCACAAGCTGTGGTTCAAATGCAAAAGCCTTTCAGGGCTGTCAGGACCCCTGCTCCATCAGTTCCAGAGGCAGCATGTCCTCCCCAAACTAGAGTCTCTGTTCATCGTGGGGCCACAAGAATGCTGAGCTCACGGGGCCGCAGGTGAATGGGCAAAGAGGAGGAGGGCGCCCACACTGTAGGTGTGTCTTCCCTCCTCACTTACAACCCAAGTTCAAAGATAAAATTACTAAGAATTTCAAGATGGCAACAGCAAGCATTAAAGCAAGTGCGGGCCCTTCTGAGCAGCTCACAGGCTCCTGAAGCAGGGTTAGACCCAGAGGAAGAACCTCCAAGAAACAAATGTTCGCAAACATAGGAATTGCATCCCATGAGAGTGTGGGATTGAGATCTCTAAAACAGTATCGTTTTGCTGGTAGTCAAAGTACCTTCATCCCGGGAGGCAGGCGCGGGGACTTAGCATCCTCTCACAGCCCCTTCCACCTGCCTGCCCTGCATCCTCTGCCGTCCTACCTCCCGCAACGCGTGGGCAAATTCTCCCAGCTCTCTCCCGAAGCAGGGGAGATTAGAAGGTGTGTACACTCTTTATGCCTATTGAAGCCATTAATGAGACAGGACATTCGATAAAAACATAACTTGGAGAAGAATGAATCGGAACAGACATTTTAATGCTGCTCGTTATGCTCTTCATCCTTAATTAGGTTGTGGTATTCACGTTGGACTTGCCCTGTGGAGACAGCTTATACATCTTGAGTAAAAAGGAATCCTTTTTCATTCTCGGAGACGTCCGCCTGCAGTATGCGGTTTCGACGTGCTAGTTCACAATCCCCCACATTATGCCTCCAGACCTCACAAATAAATGTTCTGTGATGGGTATCCCGCTGAGATGTGAAAATGAAATATGCAAGCCTGAAATAACTTGGGAGGAGGGTGCGGCGGGAAGAAAGGAGCCTCTGACCAGAATGTTGGAAATGCAGCCCATATTGAAGTTATTATGGCACCACAGAAATGTGAATGTAATTTAGACAGTTTGGTTGAGGGTGGATGGCAGAGTGCATGTGGGAGGGGGAGCGGTAGACATGTGGACATCGTTTTCAGCGGAGTCTCCGCTCAAGGTCAGATGTCCCCAGCAGTACGGAGAGGCGGAGGAAAGTGCTCAGAAAGCGCCACATCCTGGCTTGTTGTATTTTATTTAGGCGGCATGTGTCACAAGGCAGGCTAAATGCCGTAGTCAGTTCTGGAATATCTTCTTAATGACATTAGGTTCACAAAGCAAAAATATTTAGAACTTATTGTTGCTAATGACAGTAATGTTCTTTGCACTATAGTATCAGTATTTTTTAAAAATATATATTTTATTGATTTGAAAAAATATATATTTTATTGATTTTCCACAGAGAGAAAAGGAGAGGGATAGAGAGCTAGAAACATCGATGAGAGAGAAACATTGACCAGCTGCCTCCTGCACACCCCCTATCAGGGATGTGCCTGCAACCAATGTACATGCTCTTGACTGGAATCGAACCCGGGACCCTTTAGCCCTCAGACCGATGCTCTATCCACTGAGCCAAACCAGTTTTGGCTATTTTATTGATTTTTTACAGAGAGGAAGAGAGAGATAGAGAGATAGGAACATCAATGAGAGAGAAACATTGATCAGCTGCTTCCTACATTCCCCCGCTGGGGATGTACTCGCTACCAAGGTACGCACCCTTGACCAGCATGAACCTGGGACCTTTCAGTCTGCAGGCTGATGCTCAATCCACTGAGCCAAACCGGTTTCGGCAGTATCAGTATTTTTTTTTTTTTAATACCATCTCATTTTTTAAAATACCATGCCACTTAGTACTATTTTGGGGGCAGATAAATGTCAGTACTGCAGACTGTTGTAGGTGGTTTTTATAAAGGTGCTACAAGTTCTCTGTGCCAGGTGTGTTTGGTAGGGATCCTCTCTCTCACTTTAAGAAAAACATTGAGTGTTCTATTTGGCGTCTCTAAAAAGAACTCTTAATCTCATTTTCACTGTGGACTTGATAATATGGTATCCTCCCTACCGTCTTCCGTGGTGAAGGAGAAGTATTTCCCCAAAATAACATCCTGTCAGAGCACCTGACCCGGCCACTCTGACACGAGTTGTTGTCTCACTTCCCTGGTTGGGGACAGAGGGTATTTCTGAGTCTTTGAGTTCTCCGTGCAGGATGGAAACCCGTGTCTTCTGACTCTCTGTCCTCAGAGGTTCTACAAAGACACTGTGTCTACTTACCCCAGTGAGGGCGTGTTACTGGTGTGAGTCTGAGACAGTCTGTGATTGTGACATTATCCACAGCCCCTCCCATGATGCAGTGCAGAAGCCCATGCTGAAAAAGGTACCCACCTCAGTCATTGATTCACCCAGTGAATAGTTATCCAGTACTGCTATGTTCCAGGCAGTGTTCCAGGCACCTAGCATGCCTCGGGACACAAAACATCCCATCCTCAGGGTGACTCCTCCCGGCCCTTGCAGCTTCCTCGGCAGCAGCTCGATGACTAAGACTCCTCGGCAGGAAGCCCAGTGGATGGCAAGAGAGCACAGAGCGTGGTGTTTCCTAACGGGCTGTCTCAGACTGTTGGGCCGAATGCCATCTGTGCTCCCTGCGTCGCCAGAGGACTCTAATGACAAGAGCAGCAGCGCACTGGTTAGGGCGCCCATTGCGCACAGGCCAAGGGTTGGAAGGGACAGTGACACATTACAAAGCATTTTCCCGACTTTGCATTTTTCTCAGAGTTCATGGAACTCCTTCAGCAGATACATACCATCTACTCCTTGGAGAAGAAACGCTATTAGGTATTTTCAAGGGTTTAATCGTTACCCTCTCTGTTATTGAACTTGAAAATCCCAGGGAACGTTTAGATGGAGATTTGAACCCTCAGCCTACCTGTTTGATTATTATTATTATTATTATTTTTTTTTTTGTGAGCTGATAGGGAAAGAAAAACTTAATGTTTAACCTGTTCAGCCTGGTCCGTGTGAAGAAACAGATGTTTGCACCAGGAAGTCCTATCGTGCGGAGGGGCTTATCAAGGCTCTCTCAAGACGGACAGGGCAGCGGTCAGGTCTGATGTGCGGGCCATCGTGCCTGCCGTCTGGGCTGAGTGAGGACAGAGCTGCCCCATCATAACTGTCACTCATGGCCTCTTCTTACCAGCAAACAGAAGGAGGAAGTCTGGTGTGGGCCGGCCGCCCGCCTTTCCCGAGTGCCGGCGAGCAGCGCGGTGACAGCTGTCTGCGGACGCGGCGCGGAAAGTAAATGTTTTGGTGATTCCCATGCTCGTCGCCAGCAAGATAAACATGAAGGAACCGGCTTCATGTTCAGAACGGCCACGCTCCCTGCGTCGTCGCTCCTTAGCTGCTCCTCTTTCTGCCTCCCCACAGTTTACATAGCACATCGCGGGCCTTCCTGCGGCTGCTTGTTGCTTTAAAGTGGAAATAGTTGAAATGCTTCAGACTTGGGAGCCAAGCGGAAGACAATGTGCAAGTGCTGATGGGAAATGTCTGTCAACTTTGCTCGTGTGTATCAAGTCGGGAAACATTTACTATTCTTTATGCGTTTAAGAGTAAAGAGCCTGGCCGAGACCGGTTTGGCTCAATGGATAAGAGCGTCGGCTTGGGAACTGAAAGGTCCCGGGTTTGATTCTGGTCAAGGGCATGTATCTTGGTTGTGGGCATATCCCCAGTAGGGGGTGTGCAAGAGGCAGCTGACCGATATCTCTCTCTCATCGATGTTTCTAGCTCTCTATCTCTCTCCCTTCTTCTCTGTATAAAATCAATAAAACACATTAAAAACAAAAAAACAAAACAAAACAAAAAAAGAGTAAAGAGCCTGAATCAGTGAAAAGGGAGTTGATTAATGGGAGCTTCCCTCTTGCGTAGGCCAGCTCAGTGCCTTTTTGAAATAAGGTGTGTTTTACATATTAATAACTAAGCTAGTAAAAACACCCCCCCCCCCAGTTCTCCCCCGCCCCTGCTCAGATTGCTTCCCAGTTGGATTCCTGGCTGGTGTACTGCTATTGGTTTAATTTTCTTAAAACGTCTCTAACAACCCAGTTTGAATCTTCTAATGATGAAGAGCTGATTTTGACATGGGGCGGGGGAAGGGGGGCAAGGGGGAAGGTCTTGTGTTCTTCAGGACTGGGGACTGGTGATGCGCTGCTCTGAGCCCAGTGCTCGCTGCCTGCACAGGGCAGAGCCGGCTCTGCCAGGCCAGTCGCTGGGCCCTGTTCTTTCATGTGCAAATGCATCTGCCAGACCCCCTTGGCTATGCCCCTCCGTCAGGCTTCTGGGCAGCATTGGAATTAGACTATCTGACCTCCTTGCTGTACTGCAGTCTCAGCAAGGATCCGCCCACTGTTTCCCTGGCACCTGCGGCTCTCTGACCCTGGTCCAGCTGGGACCCCAGTGCCAGGCGGTCAGCTCTTTAAGCCCCTGCCCACCACCACATCTTCTTCCTGAAACTCAGTGTCTGGGGCTCCCCAGCTTCCCCGCTTGGTTCTGGGTGAGCTGGCTTTCCAGGGCACACGCTTCTGCCAGCAGCAGGGCGAATGATGCGTTTTTCTTCACTGTTTCCCTGCTGGCCGCCCTCTGGAAGGGGCAGGTCAGCTTCCCGTTCTCCCTGCTGCCGTGCCCTTCGGCTGCAGGTTGGCGGCTGTGCTCACGGTGTGTACCTGCAGCGTCACGTGCTGCTTGTGCTCTAATAAACGCAGGCGAGATTCGCTTACCGCCCCGCAGAATGAAAGCTTGGATCACGCGTAGAGTCAGGTATATATAGGTGTGGACTGCATGATATCATAATATTTTCATACAATTACAGATCCTCCGTCAATAACTTGTCGTTTTTTAAAAAAACATTTTTTAAAAAAAAGCAGCACTCTACTTTCATTTTGCATTCCCGCTCCCCTGCCCCCCGATTTTTTCAAGCAGTGGTTGAGCGTTGACCTATGAACCAGGAGGTCCTGGTTCAATTTCAGGTCAGGGCACATGCGCAAGTGGGAGCTCGATCCCCAGTAGGGGGCATGGAGGAGGCAGCCAATCAGCGATTCTCTCTCATCACTGATGTTTTTATGTATCTCCCCCTCTCCCTTCCTCTCTGAAGTCAATAAAAATGTATTAAAACAGCAAAAAAACTGACCTTTGGGATTTCAGAGCTGAAGTCGAGGAGTCACCTAATCCGATTTGCATGTTTGCAGGTGGCTCAGCGGGTGAGGGTGAGGGTGAGGATGGAGTGGTGCCCCAGGGAGGTCTCCCGGGCTCCTTTCTGAGCCTCAGGCCCTCACCTCCTCTGCGTTATTCTGTGAGGCGCTTCCATCGCTGTCTTCCTTTATCCTTCCACTTAGGTTGTCAGGCGCGCGACTGGTCTCTGGGGACAAATGGAGTCATGTTGGCACCAATACCCAGACTGCACTCATGCTTCCCTGTTGGGCTGCTTGGGAACTCCAGAGTCCCATGCAGTTTCCCAGCTGCCCCTCGGCCCTGGTGATGGCCATCGGGAGCTCGGGAGCTGACCCCCTGCTCCCCGTGTTCTTGCCTGAGTCCGGTATCTTCTGCGCAGGCTGCTGGTGCTGGCACCCCCCGACACCCTGAGGTTGCTGCCCAGCGCCCAGGTTCCCAGGCGGCACCACGTGAAGGTGTGTCCTTGCCCAGGTCTGCCCTGCGGCACGGCCACACTGTGCCCGGCGACAGTGGCGTCCATGGACTCGTCCTTTCTCTGTGTCACTTTTGTCACCTGGGCAGGGACATGGGACTGCAGAGGTTGGTGTCTCACAAGATCCCCCTTGAAATAAGCGCCTGTGGTTTCTGCCGACAGCCCTGAGGCTGCGGGGCCCAGCGCTGAGAGGCACCAGGCTTTTCCCTCCATCCAGTTTCCCCCAAGATGCCCCCAGGCCCCGCTGCCCTGACCACTTCCTGGCCCTTCTGCACAAGGGTGGGCAGCGTCACCCTCCAGGTCATCTAACGTGCCCGGCACAGGGCTAGCGCTGTCTCCTGTCCATCTCAGTCCCCCCGCCCTCCGAGGGGAGTGCGGGCTGGTAGTGTCCTCATCGGTGCCGGAGGCTGCGGCCCAGGGGAACTCAGTGACCTGCTCACGGCCACAGCATGCGGAGCTCCAGTCCCACACCAGACTCATCTGGACTGCTCCAGACACCGGTCATCTCCTAACTCAGTCCCCAGTCCCTCGCCTGCTTTGCTCAGTCATCTTCTCCGCTTACATCCAACCTGCTTTGCCCCCAGGGCTGGGAGGAAACGGTGGACGCCGCGGTGTCCTACCTCCTGAAAACCTGCCTCTCCAAGAGCTCCAAGGAGCAGGCTCTGAGCCTGGGCAGCCAGCTGACCAAGCCCCGCGACACCGGCCGCCTGAAGAAGCACATCACCCTGCTCTGCGACCGCCTGGCCAAAGGCGGCCGCCTCTGCCTGAGCACCGACGCGGCTGCCCCGCCCGCCATGGTCATGCCAGGTGAGCGCCGGGTCCACGCCCAGTGACAGGGGCGTGTCTGCGGTGGTAGCGGGGTCCACATTTCACAGGAAGTGATGATAGAAGGTTGCTTTCTCGTGTCCCCTGCTATCCACAGGGTAACCACTTGGCTGGAGACGTTTCTAGAACGGTATGCCTCTTTTCTTCCCTCTGCTTTGAAACATATGATCCATGTCGTTATGGATCTAACCAATGAAAAGTGGATCAGAGAATAAAACTAAATGTGATTTCTCAATACCATATTTCTTAGATGAAAATAACCTAATGCAAGCCACTGAGGTGAGCCAGATTGAGGTCCGTCCTTCTACTGTTTGCTTGGGCTGTGGTCAGCAGGATCAGGGGGCGGAAACAAGGAAAAAAGTCCAGGATCAGGGTGTTCGGCATCAGAGGGCTCTCTCCTATGTGGCCTTGGGCACCCAGGACATTTCAGATGAGGAAGAGATTTAAACAAACCACAAGAACACAGAGGAGGTGGAGGTGGCTACACAGCATGAGGTAACAGGCCGTTCTGCGTCAGCCCGGAGCACGTAAACAGGTGTGTTCTGTGGGGTTGTCCTGGCGGCAGAGTTCCAGGGGTGTCTGAGTGTCTTCCTATTCCGTCTCCTCCATTATTGTGCATGTTTTCCTACCAACAACGTCTGTAATTTATGAAAAGGGACCATGATAGAAAGTCCCAATAAGGAAACAACGATAATTGTATCAGAAATGATGGTAAAGGAAAAGCAAGGACCGATATCACACAGCAGGACAACGAATGGCTTTCTCCTCCCACAGGAAGTAAGTTATTCAAGGGCAGTGACGGTGAGTCTGTGGGGCTTGTTTGCATTTCGGTTCTGATGAACGGACACCCAAGTCCCTCCCAGGACTCTGCACCAATGTGTACGGCTGGTTTATGGGTTCTGCCTCCTCTTCTTTCCGTGCTGCCTCTGGAAGGAGGCCACGTCCTGCAAGCATCGCTCTCTGAGTGACCTTCCACCTTCCACGAGCGAGCTCATCATGGGCAACCTGGTGAGCACGTGGCTTCAGCCTGCTTGGCTGCTCTGCGGAGTTTGACAATGACACTGCCTCCCTGAGGCCTTCTCCCCTCTGGGCTTCTCCCTGGCTGCCGGAAACTGCTCCTGTGCCCTCGGACCTGTCTTTCCAGGTGGCTCTGTGGCTTCCTGTCCCTTTTTCCTTCTCTAGAGTCTTGGTCTGACTTCATGCTCTGGACAGTCTCATCACACTGCCACCTGAACTCCATGTCCTTCTGGCTTTGTAGCTTTCTGTCTGGCCTCTCCTCCAGCTCTCCCACGTCTCCCTCACCACCCCACAGGCCTCTCCGATTCCATCTGCCTGAGTGAGACTCAGCTGCTCCGTGTGCCGGGTCGCAGCGCCTGGGACCTTGAGACAACTGGACCCTCTGTTTCCTTTGCTCACCCTGTTCAGTCAGCCACCCACCCCTGATGAGGCACCTCCCACATGTATCCTTTCCCCGTCCCCCACTGCCCTCACCTTGCAAACACCCATTTCCTATTCAGGCCATTAAAACCACCGTCAAGAGTCTCCTTGTATTAAGGTTTCTTCTTTATTTTTAGTACCACCATAAAAAAACAACAATTTATAAATGTTCATAGCAGAATTATAGCTAAAAAGTGGGAAAATTCCAATACTTGTCAACTCATGATGGACAAATACATGTGGTAGAACCTCTGGGCTGTGTAACACAGGACCACAGGCAGGGCTGCTTAAACAGCAGGATCAGTTTCTCACCGTTCTGGAGGCTGGCACTCCAGGGTTAAGGGGCTGGCAGGTTTGGTTTCTCCTGATGCCTTTCTGCTTGGCTTTCAGATGGCCACCTCCCCTGAGTCCTCTGCGTGAGCACATCCTAGTGACCCTTCTCTTTACAAGGACACTGGTCCTTTTGGATTAGGGCCCCACCCTTATGACCCCATTTAACCTCATTTTCTGCTTTAATGGCCCTATCTCCAAATAGGGTCACATTGGGGGTTAGGGCTTCAACCTATGAATTTTGGGGAGGGCACAATTCAGTTCATAACACCCCAGATGGAAGGTAGTGCATGGAGTGCCCGGTATGGATTGTATTTTTCTTTGTGGCCTCAGCTCCCCACCGAGGCCTGCCATATAGCCTATTTCAAAATAAAAAGTATTTTTAAAACTTTTTATTTTGAAATAGTATAAAATATCTATAATAATTTTAATTACGGATTCACAGGAAGATGCAGAAATACTATATAGAATCCCTTGTACCCTTCCTCCAGCTTTCCCCAAAGGTGACATTTTATAGAACTGCAGTACAGTATCCAAATGGGAAATGGACATTGGTCTGCCTTATATTTTTAGAATGACTTAGTGGAGCTTTTATTAAAGAGAATGCATCTTGAAGCAGGTATACATTTTGGACTTCCAGAAAGGGTAGTGGCAGATATTATAGATACAAGCAAGGAGATATTGACCTGTAAGTAAACTGGTTAAGTTTCAGATTAGTTCAGGTGGCTAGCTCAAGAAGCACTAGTTAGTCAGAAACTTGGGAGCTGCATAAAAGAGACTGAAAGGTGAGCATGTAATGGGAGCAGTTGTAGGTTCTTAAGCTGCGAGTGACTTATAAAACACGGTGTTTGAGAAATACCAAGCTCATGGTGGTGTGCAGGTGGAAAGGGAGCATGAAGGAGAGGGAAGAACACAGATACTCCATCAAGCTTGTTGGTTGCTGTTGGTGGAAATGATTAAGTTGGCTGGGTTTTGGGTATTATGGATAATGTGCTTCATTTATAATGCAGTGAGCTTGAGATGATGAAAGTACATCCGAGAAGAGACAGGTGTCGACAGCTGTATCTGAGGAATTTTATCTTAAGGGAACGATTGAAGCTTGAAAAGTAGATTTGGTATCTTCAGTTTACAGGTCATTATTTTGCCATTGGATGAGCTGTCTGAGGAGAGAAGGCATTGGAAGGGGATCGTGGGATTTGGGACTTAGCTGCAGAGCCAGGAACCTGGGATGGGAAGTGGATTCTATGGGAGGAGTGAATTTCAAGGAATTCCCAGAAGAGGTGGTGTCAGTATTTTCAAGGACAGTAGGAGTTCAAGGAAAGATCTTTCAGTAACTGGAAGGAGCAATATAGGTAGACTGAGAATAGGGAGTAGTCTGTTGTCAGGATTTTCCTTCCCTCCCCTCCCCTCCCCTCCCCTCCCCTCCCCTCCCCTCCCCTCCCCTCCCCTCCCCTCCTCTCCCCTCCCCTCCCCTCCCCTCCCCTTCCCTTCCCTTCCCTAAAAATAATGTAGCGATGTTTGAAGGTCAGGGGGTGGTGGCAAGATGAGAATGTTCCAAATCCAACAGTGTTAAATTGGAAGCTTTGAGGAGGCAGAGAAATAATCTAGAATATATTTAGATTTTGAGAAGAGAAAAATTTATAACCTGGATATAAATTGGGAATATTTAATGGAACGTGTAATGCCATCCCTCCACAGGAGTTTTGCAGAAGTAGGTTTATGATGACCTGTGAGAGACAAGAAGGGGTGAGTGGGGAGGTGGTGAATTCAGGTTGGTTTGCAGTAGCCACTTTGGGAAGGACAAGCTGGGCTACCGAGCAATTGTGCAGCTACTTTATAGTTTTGAAACCAAAGTTTCTTAGCTCGAGATAACACCTCTTTGTTTTGAAACAACATACTGCTTCAAAAATCCAACTATCGTGTATAAGAAAGCATTCAGTTATTAACAGGATGCCGGTCTTATCCATTGTCTTAGGGAGTTCTAACTGGCTGAATGGAGGGTTAGCGGGAGAATATTTGAATCCGGGATTAGACTTGATTTCACAGGAGAAGCAATTAGGAGCAACTCTAGGGGAAGGTCTGCCATCAAAGACCTAATAGAACACCATTCTCCCTGTGTGTACTTAGCAAATACTTGTTGATAGACAAGCTGGCTGGTGACTAATTACAATGTGATGACCAAAGCCCGTTTCTTGGAAGTAGGGCTGTTAATACAGGAAGAGAATACCAGGGGAGTTTGAGGAATTTCCTTTCCTGCAGATGTTTAAACTAATGCGGATACTCCACCGTCTAAAGATAATTTGGGAAAAACCCCGCCTGAAAGCAGGGGAATAAATTAAATAACTTTTAAAGACATCATTATTTCTGTTTCTTTAGCCTGTCGCACAGGCAAAGCTGTAAGATGCTCATTTTTTACCCTCGCCCAGCCGTAAAATGAGCTGTCCTTTCTCTGGATCACTCTCATGTGAAACACTGCAGTGGGAACTTCATTCTGTGTAATTTTCAGTTCCTTTAAAAGTTGCTAAGTTAGCCCAGAGAGGAGCATCCCTCAATAAGGTATTATCTCTGGGGCTTTTTATTGTATAAGAAAATAACTTTTCTCACATGTTATTGATATTTGGGCTGTTGATCTTCAAATATGAGGAAGAAAAGAAAAGGTCTTAATTCTGACAGCTGCTGGTCTGAAGGGATTTCTACAGTCACCTTAAACTTGTACCCGTGTCTTTTCTGGTCTTCCCCCCTCCATGTCTACCCCCACCTCCGCTTCTGCTGCCCGGGCCCTGTGTGCCGCAGCGGGCTCTCCTCGTCCTCTTCCCGTTGTAACACACATGCAGCCTGCTTCCTTCCCTTCTGCCTGTGTTCTCAAATTCTAACAAATTTGGTCCCTGACAATGGAAGCTTCTCTGCTTCCAGTGTAAATTCATGACTGTGAGTCAAGTTGTGTTTCTTGTCTTTGTTTTCCTTGAGATTTTTGGTGCTTAAAAGCAGTTCATCTAACTACTTATGTGAGACTGTCATTAAGATTTATTTTACATCACATTATGTTCATTTAAAAATTTAAAATATATTCATGATGAGAATATCCATGGGTAGATGGGGCAGACCCAACCAATCGGCCCACCTGTTATTTCTCACTGGAGCTGATGCACTTGGCCTAAAATAGGAACGCCCATCTACCTACCTCCCTGCACAGTGCCATGCTGCCGACCTTGTTT